TTTGCTTGTGACTGCTACGTTACGCATGAGTAAACCTCTTTTGTGAACCACACGTGTCACGGGAGTTTCTCTGTCGAACGGGGCAAACCTTACAATTAGGACTATTTATAGATTTTTAATGACTGAGCATTCATTTGTATCAGTCTATGTCTTTAAACTGATGTTTCTGAAATAACTATGGGTTTTTATGGTGTGATTATTATGATTTTTATTAACTTGCTTTTTTTACTTGAAAGATTGTAATATACAGTACATGATCTGATTGATGCTGAAACAGTACTTAAAGGATACATTCCATGAGACAGATTTTTAGAAAAGCAATAATAATGCCTTAGCTGGGATCTGAAGAACCATGAGAATTAATTACTGAATCTTAGATTGATCTTTATGATTTCTGCACCCAATTTGCATAAAGATGTATTTGTTGGAACCATTCAAACTATAAGTACTGTGTGACGAAAACAGACAGCCTTGTCAACTGCTCTGAAAAGAAAAGTCATTTTTATTTGTGATGCCTCAGTCTTAGTGATTTAAGGAAATGCAGTTATCTCTTTTAAAAAAAACTTCATGTGAAAGAAAATATGCAATATATTATATTTTTCTCACAAAGAAAAAGAGGGGAGAACATGTAAAAAAATGCAGTGTGAAATGTTCCTTCTCTGTAAAGTTCACCTTTTTTTTTCATCCTGCTCCAGAGAATCAATTCCCGTTACAGAAAGCAAATCTGGATCCTTTTTTTAAGTGTTTGTTTTAAGTTTGGTTGCATTTTGAACCACTTATATTTTAAAGGTAAATTTAGTGACTCTAAAGTTTAAGAATTACTGATTTTATAAAACCAGGATTTAAATTGTCTTAATTTAAATTGATCTGTCTTGATGAATTGAATCCCATCCTTACTATAATATTATTTTTCCCAGGCTATCTGGGAGTTCTCTTGACCTCTTTGTTATTCTCTCTCATGATATATGCAAATAATTATTCTAGCCTGCCTTATTATCTTGTTTACCAAGAATGTTCATAGAAGAGACTTGCTAAGAATTACCATCAGCATATTCCCCTTCCTACATAAAATCTTAAACATAAAGTGTTAAACTTTATGTCTATGTTTAACATAAAGTGTTAAAGTAATTGTGTTAGGAAAACTTCCTAGATAAGAAGTTACATTGTCATTTCATTTCAGATCTGGAATGTTAGAATCGGGAATTGACAGAATCATTTCTCAAGTTGTGGATCCAAAGATCAACCACATATTCAGGCCACAGGTAGAAAAGGCTGTCCACGAGTTTTTAGCTACACTCAATCACCAAGAAGAGACCAGTCCCAGCACTGCCCTGCCTGAAGAGAAATTAGATGCTTCTGTTTTGCTGCAAGGTATTTCTTCCCTCTTATCTTGGCAAAATGAATATGCTTTTAATCTTGAGTTACACTAGTTACAGAGAGGTGATATAAGGAAGCAAGAGCTGAAGTAATGCCTCCTAATGGCATACATTCAAATGATGTTACTGAGACCAATTTCCAAATTAGTGTGCTAAAGAGAAAATAGCTTCTTTATCAACAGAAGCTTTGATATTACCTCTTTGGAGGCATCCCAACATAGAGCTAATTATTGCTGTCCAGTCTGGCTATAGTTATGGCTAGGCTCATTTTCTGGAGGTAGCCTCACAACTGAAAGCCATGGTTTATAAAAAGGTACTCCCAGCTTCTGCCATTGTCTTAATTTTCAGAGTCAGACTGCAAGCTTCTCTTAGGAAAGTGTATCTTTCTGATATTATTAGATTCCTTCTCTCTTTTTCATCAGATGGCTGTATCAAAAGCATTTCTCCTTTGCCTGGATTAAATTCCAATGCATCCATCCCAAAATTCTGTCAGATAACCTATGGGGGGGGGGGCAGAGTGGAAGATAGGGTAGGTGAAAAAAATGCATCTTTCCAATATTTATTGCTTTTGTCTTCCACCACCATCTCTGTTACATCACTCAACTCATATAGCAGTCACTCCCTTCTAAGGAATTTTGTTCAACCTATTAATACTCCTTTAACAAACTTGATGTTGCACCCATCTGACCAACCTTATTGCCAAGGTTGCTAGCTGATAAGTTGGAGACTTCAAAAATGATGTTCCTTTGGGACTTCAACATCCATGGTCAAGGCTAACTCAGAACTTTGGGGCCTCCATGACAGTCATAGGGCTCTTTTAATATGTTACAGGACTAACACATTAAGGAGGGCATACTCTTGTTCTGAAAGCAATCGCTAGTAGTCTCATGCTTTCTAATATTTGGAGCTGTAGCCATCTCACCTGCTTGTATGAGAAGGATCTGCCTTCAGAGTCATAGGCATCGGGAAGATTCCTGAATGCTCTGGGAAGTTTTCCAAGTCACAGGGCTTGTGATTCTGTTGAAGCTATGGGGGTGGGGGGATGAGATGAGCCACTGATAAAATGGTTTTTGAGTGCCTCTCCAACCTTTTAGAGTTAAGAAAGTTCTCTGGTTCTCAGGAGAGGCAGCTTAACAGATTGTTAGAGTGCAAGTGACAGAAATTTTGGCACAAAGTTGACCAAACACAGGTTAGAGCACATTATCTCATGATAATGAGAGAAATAAAGCTTTCTTAACAGCCCACTGCCACCACTGTATCCTTTGAGTAACCACCTAGCAGAGTTATTGCAGATAGCATATTGTCACAAATGAAATGTTAATGTCTAAGGATGTGCCAAAATGCACGGTTTGGACCACATTGGACACTGAACTAAGAGATTCTTTTTTGGTTTAGCTTCTTCAGTACATATACAGTACCTCATACTAATAGTTGCTCTTACCTTACTCTTATTTGAAGGTATTCCTGCTGTCACTCCAAATGTGAATATGGCTAATGATGCTCTGTCTATTTTGGAGACCATAACATCTCTAAACCAAGAAGCCAGTGCTGCCAGGGCTTCTACAGAAGCAACAAATGCCAAGACTAATGAAAGATTCTCAAAGAAACTCCTGTCTCAGCACAGTTTGGATGGCAGCATTGAGAGAGACCGGAATGCAGAAGACTTTGTTGATGGAGAAAAAACTCCCTGTAACTCTACAGAAGAAAACTTTGAACTAGTAGTAAACTGTGAAGATGTAAGTAATTCATTTTCTTCAAGTGAAGAAGGAAAAACTGCGTCAAAAGAAGCCAGCAGCTTGCTTAATCCAAGCAAGGAAATTTTTCAGGAAAGCGATGAACAAAAAAGTAAACTGATGGATAAATCTGATAGAAAACTGGAAAGCTTGGAGAAAGGAGAAAAGAAAAAAGAAAAGAAAGAAAAATCTGACAAGAAGTTGGACGTCTTAAGAAGAAGTAGTGATGATGTAAAAGCAAGAGAAGAAAAGACAATGAAAGATAAAGAGATAGAAGTGATAAAACATTTAGCTCTGGAAAAGAACAGTAGCAAAAACAAAAATGAAAGCACAAAAGAAGGTATAAAATCACAGGTGTTTATTCATTATGAGCAAGTTGGAACAAATGGAAAGGCAGTTTTGATTTCTTTAGAAAATTTTCATATGGGTAAATAGATATTGGCATTACACTTTATTGGTTGATGATGTATATTTAGAATGGTGCTGCTTTGTTTTGTTTTACCTGCAGCGTGATAATTTTCTGAAGATTTTAGCTTACTGGACTTTCAGGATTTAAATTGTTTTATAAAAGTAAACATAACAACATGTTTTCTAGATAATACTAAATGTTGTGATTATTTTTTTTCTTTTTATCTATCTCAAACTATACTTGTTCATTGTTTTTAGTGAGTATCTTTGTACTTTGTTTCCTTAGTTTATAATTGCCCATGTTTCAGATTTTTAAACCAGAACTTTAATAATCTCTCATTTTCATGTTGTATTTTGAGATTCTTATCCTTGGCTTTCTCATTCAGGACCTTTTATTTCTCACTTTATGGTGTTTTTGATTTAATTTCTTTATATGCCAGGAATCTTTACTATAGGATAGCTTTTTATACTTGCATGTTTTGGCTGTTTCATCATGTAACAATCTTTCTAAAATACATTAATTTCTCATAGAAGATACACTAAAACTCTTTCATATGTTTTATTCAGTTTTGATTATTGTTAGGTCCTCTTTCTTAATATTGCTTTATCTCATCTAAAGCAATTGATATCTCTTCCTCTGTGGCACATCTTCTTTCTTGCATTCTTTTGATCTCTTGTTATATATATTTTTATGGAGTCAGTTGTCTTTTAGTGCAGCCTTTCTCAGTCTGGTGCCCTCCTGGTGTGATGGCGTGTCAGAAACTAGCTCCAAGCTGATTTAGCTAATGGCTGTGCTGCCTGAGAATTCTGGGAAATTGGAATCCCAGTGTGCCTGGAGGGTACCAGGCTGGGGAATAGGAGCCTGGGCACGTCAGTGACGAGGAAGAGCTTCCGTGGCCGTTCCTAGGTCAGAATTTTCCCTTTTCTGTCTTTTGGTGGTTTTTCATTTTCAGATGCTCATTTTTCAAATATAAATGTATAGCCAGGCCTTCATTGTATTTCTTTTTTTAAAAAACCTCATGCTGGAAAGCTGTTTAATGAATGATGAGTTTCTGCACTGAGACCTTTTTACACACATGCACACCTTTTGCAGACTAATGGAGAGAGACTTCTAAAGGTCATTATCTTCAACAGCACTGTGGAAGGTGGATAGTACCAGGCATGCATGGAAGCCATTTCCAGTCACTTGTGGGATGTTGTGGATTCTGGACTATATTTTAAGTCACCTGTATCTTTCCTTCTAAACTAGTGTTGGATGATTCTGATGTGGACATACTGAGTGATATTACTGTTAGCTCTGTGCACACCAGTGATCTTTCTTCCTTTGAAGAAGACAGTGAAGAAGAAGTTGTGCTTTCTGATAGCACAGAAGAAGGAGAGATTGTTTCTGATGGTAAAGTAGTCTTGACCTTTGGTTAGTGAGGAGAATAAAAGAATGAACATGCTCTTCCTTAAATATAACTCCCTTATATACTTTTAGCACTACTAGCTGGAGCAACTGAATATTACATACATTCAGTTCAGGCATACCATTTAAGCACAACAAATAAGTACAGTTCTTCACTCCATGAGGCTGTCTCTGAAATTAAAATTAACTTAGATGTGCTTCCAAATGCTGTGCATGGGCACAGAATCCAAGCAAAGATTGGTGGGAAATCTTTTCCAGGCAAGACAAAACATAAACTTCCCTCTTGCCTTAATAACAGTAAGCCTGAATCTGTCCATTCTCATACATTTAGATACCACATAGGTGAAAAATAATGTTATTCCAGAATATATTTGTTTTTAATATGATTTGTTGTTTTGCATTAACTACAGACCATGAGTAGACTCTCATTTAACAAAGCTCATTTTCTGTTTTAATAAGTCTTAAGCATACTACAGCATAGTGTCCTTTGTTCATAAGAATAGAGTCAGTTTGTTAATTTATACTGAATGGTCAGTTGAAATATTTCTGTATTTTAAGTTCAGAAAGCTGCATTCAAATGTTAAACTGTTTGATTGCTTTGATCTCTGCCATCTATTTGGGTTATCATTCTAGAATGCTAAAAGGATAATTCCGTGCTTTTACTGACACTGCATGGAATATCCAAAACCAATTCATAGTTTCCTCTAATGTGACAATCATAGCTGAGGCTATCAGAAAACATTTCAGATAATATGCAGTACTGCAATTTCCAGAGTCTTTTGGTAACAACTATAGCTAAATTTAGTCTGATTTGTAGACTTACCATGGACTTACCATAATAGTTGGGTAGTAAAATAGTGTAGGATTTTTAACGTATTATTTCTTTGAACAATATTTTTATTATGAATAGATGGAGGAAAGGTAAGGCTAGGATCCTGAAATGCCAAAAGAATTTTTGCTTTTGGATAGGCTGATGGTTTTTCACTTCCAGCTGCAATCCTTCATCAACATCAGCTTTGAGAAAGGGTTTGGTTGGGAAGAGGGTTTCGCCTGCTTTGGGGACACTATCTAGTTCTTTGGACCTCAGTCTAAATCTAAATTAAAGATGAAATTTTCCTCAAACTTTTCTTTTCTCTTCTCAAATTTTATTTAGATGAGGAAGATGAATGCAGCCAGATGAAAGCAAAACCAGAGGTAGATGGGACAAATGATAAAAAAATGAAATCTGGACGACACGCTTATGTCCACAAGCCTTACCTTTACTCCAAGTATTACAGTGATTCAGACGATGAAAGGACAGTGGAGCAACGTCGCCAGTCAGTTGTGAGTTGAGCTGCTCTTTTACTTTCTTTCCTTCATGAATGGTAGATTCTCTGGATGAATGGCACTCTGAGAAACTTCTTCCAGCATTACCTGGTCATTGGTGGTTCCATGCTCCAGGCTGAAGATTCTGGGCCACAGAAGTGCTTGTCTGTCTTTCTTATGAATATCAACTTCTCAAAGACTGGCAGGGAAAGTTGTGTACACATGCAGTGTTATATGCATGATACACATGCAATGCAGGCAGCCAGTAGTCCCTTATTCTAACTCTGAAACTATTTGTATAGATGCATATCTTGTTGGCAGAATTTAAGGCAAGAACAAAAAGTGCCTGGTTTCAGAATCCTTTTCTCCTTCTAATTTTTATATATTGCTGCTACTCTAACATCTATTGTTACCTCTTAAATTGAAAGAAAGGATTAAGGATGTCTCCATGGGTTCAAGTGCCCTGTTGCTATCTCTGCCATCTCTCACCAGAAAAATTATTGGTTCTTTCTGGATTATATGGAATCTCATTCTTCCCTGATTCATTTCATCCATAGTGGGGAATGGATGGATAGGAACTCACTTCTGTATATTGATTTCTCTCATTGTACAAAGTTATAATTCTTCTACCCTGCATTTCTATTGCTTTTAAGATTGTTTTAGTATGGGCTGTCTATGTGGTTTTATGTTTTATTTGTTTTTATGGATTTTTTTGCTGTTGCATGCTGCCCAGAGTCCACTGGAGTTGGGCTGCTATAACAATATGGATGGATGGATGGATGGATGGATGGATGGATGGATGGATGGATGGATGGATAGATAGATAGATAGATAGATAGATAGATAGATAGATAGGAGAGTAGTTGTTAAATTTTGCAGCAACTGCAACTTTCAGGCACTTTGCATCCACTTAGAATGTATTGCTGGGATGTAGTCCAGGCGTGGACAGCCATTACCACATCCAACAAGTTGAGAAGGACTTGGATGATGCACCAGATACAATTGCTCCTCTGTGTAGATGCCCCCTGCAAATCCAGTGACAGCTGAAGGTCCAAGAATAATCTAAGACTGCAAACCTACTCTTTCAGGCTGAGAACAAACCTGCCCAAAACTCACTGAACTTAATCCCCAGGTCCAGGATTTCATTTTGCCCCTAGCACCTTTGTCTTGTCTGGATTCAGTTTAAACTTCTTCTTCTTCATCTAGCCTATTGTGGAACTTAAGCAGTTTCAGGGGTGGAGTTGCATAGAACTCCAAATCTCCAAACAACCTGTCCAAGTACATTTTTGTGGATGTTGAAGAGCAATGGAAAATGGATGGAATTCCATGGGTCAGTGGCCTCACTGTTGAACAGTAGTCTTCCAGCAGCATCTTCTAGACTCAGTCTGAGAGGAAGGGGCAGATCCACTGTGAAACAAGACCCCTAAAGCCTGGCCTGCCAGGCAATCTAGAATGGTACTATGGTGAAAAGTTGTTAGGAAATCCAAGCCAACTGGCAAGGCCTCCCTTCCCCCACCTAGTTTCTGGCATGGATCACTCATCAAGATGATCAGAGCAGTTTTATTATTGTCTCCAACTAGAACTGAATGTAGATAATTGGTGTCATGCAGCTTACTCTGGTTCTTTTCAGTTGGCTGAACTGCCAACACTTCCTGACATTTTTTAACAAGTAAAAAAAGTAGCCCAGAACAAGTGAAACCTGGCTGTTCTTCTGGAGCCCAAAAAAACTTTACCACTGATTGATCTGTTGCCTGGCTTTGGATGGCACATGGAACCATGCTAAGTTAAGTAACCACTGTGGGCTATTTCTTTTAACCACAATCTGTAGCCCGTTGTTCACCAAGCCCAACCACAATATGATTTCCCATGTTCTGTGGACAGGGAATAGGAAGGATGCTCCAGGGAGTGCAGGCTCGAATAACCAGCTGGAGGAGACAATGTGTCAGGTAACTTGACTCCAAGCTGCTTAGGGGGACAAAGATGAAAGCTAGCATATCCTGCTAGATCTCGCAGCCCTCCAAACATTGCGGAAGAACAATTCACAGCATCCTTCAGCACTGGCTGTACTGAATGAAGCTGCCAGGAATTGTAGTTGGGCAATATCTGGAAAGCCACAGAAGGGAAGCACATGGGCCATGTTGCTTTCTGGCACCACCATGACCCAACTAATAAAGTGCTGCTTCAGGTGGGCTCATAAACTTCAGGAGAGGTAATAAAGGGCAGGTGTTGGACAAGGGAACTGAAAGCCTATTCATGTCCTATTCTAGGATTCACTGTCCCACGCTCTTTGTATCTTCAGGCTCGAGAAAAAGAAGAGAGACTCTTGAGGAGACAGCTTAACAGAGAAAAACTTGAAGAAAAGAGGAAACAGAAGGCTGCAGAAAAGACAAAATCTCTGAAAACTGGCAAGTAAAACTGAGTTTTACTTTATATCAACCTTTCTTGCAGTGCTTTACTACTAGGTGCATTTTTGACAAAAGAGTGGAAGCCTCCTTTAGTCTGAAACCATGGTAATATGAGATAGTGCAGCTTGAGATTTTCCTGTATTGTTTTAGGTAAAAGCATCCAAAATTTGGAAGACCCTTCAGGAAGAGGCCTTGATCTAAAAATTGGTGGTGCCAGCATTAAGGATGTGCTTAAAGAACAAAGATTTTTGGAAAAGAAAGTAGCCCTAAGCAGGAAAAGAAAAAGAGAGTCAAGGTACACCTTCATTTACTTTTACATTAAAGTTGAGTTACATTGGTGTTTGCATATTATATAGATAATAGAACTTGCTATTCTCAGGTAGTAATCACTGAAGACAAGCTTTGCATCAATCAATTACTTTATTACAGGTCACAGACTCAACATACATATTAGAAAAAATAAATACAATAAAATAAGATAGGAAGATAAAAGTGTAAAGAAAAGTAAAGAAAATTACTGTATAATAAAATAGGCTACAAACAATGTAAGACTCTAGTGCTTTATGCAGTACCTACTCTACACTGTACAGCCCAAAATTCAGCCCAAAATTAATTTGCCATTAATAATGAACAGATTTTGCTGTCTATAAATGCACTTTGCGCAAGGTATTTGATTGGTTGATAAGAGCAAGTATTTGGATGTAGCACATAATGTACCTAATGAGGTCAGTAAAACAATTAGAGTGTAAGTATGAGATAATGGGGCAGGACTACAAAAACAATGGGGTTTTGAAAGAACAAAGAGGCATTATTCCACAAACAGAGTTTCTTTCTAGTTTCTTTCTTTAGGTTTCCCAGAGCTCAGCTCACCTCCCAGAACTTTCTAGTTGATCACCTTCCTTGGCCTCCTAAATGTTTATGGCTGAGCTGACAGTTTAGTTTCCCTGAAAAAGTGTATTTGTGAAGGGGATAGATGCCTAATTTGACATTACATAAATGAGCTTTGTTTTCTTTTTTTTATTACAATTTTTATTAAAGATTTACACTGAAATAAAAGATAAATGATACAGGTAGTCCTTGGTTAATGATGGCAATTGGGACTAGAATTTCCATCGCTAAGCACTGCAGTTGCAGAGCATAATAACCCTGGTTGTGCCCTGTGGGTTCTATTCATGCTCAGCCTGGATGAAAGTTTAACTATTCCTCTTGGAGAAGGGAGGGAATCAGTTGTTTCCATAACAACATCTTTTGGAAGGGATATTGCCCTCTCTTAAACTTTTCTGGTAAGAGAAAATATCATGATATTCCTTTAAAAAAAATTAAATACACTAAAAATGCATAATTAACAAAACAAATTTAAACTTAAGGGAAAAAGTAATGGAAACCAAAAGAAAAGAAATTTTAAAATCCCAACCTCAAACAAACTAAGAAAGAGAAAAAAGGAAAAAAAATAACTACCCTTATATCAATAGTCACTGGTTTACTAATAAATAACTACTATAATATAAACAGTATAAAATATCACAAAATCTCTGCCATAGTAATACATCATAGTAATACATTCATCATTTGATTAATAGAAAATACTGCCTTTTCCAAAGCAGATATATCACACATTTCCAAAAGCCATTCCATAACATCTAGAATAATATAACTTTTCCAATTTCTCAATATAATTCTTTTAGCCACTCCCCCCATGTTCAATACAACCATAATTCCTGAAAAACAGTCAGATTCCAAAGCTTAGGTATATAAGTCAACATCATATTAACATCTTTAACATTTAAAATTTTTCCCATAAATCTACTTTATATACATTGACACACTATTCCAAAAAGATATCAAATTATCACATGACCATATCATATAGGTCAGTGAACCTTCAATTTTTTTATACTTCCAACATGGAAAACATGTTCATCCTTTCAAATATGTTATTTGGGGAGTCCAGTATACCCTAAATATAATTTTTGATTAATCAACTTTAATCTCAGATCTTTAGATACCTTTTCAACATTTTTAAGGACATGAATCCATTGATGGGGCATTATCAGAGATTCCAGTCTGTTTTTGGAATATTTCAGAAATATCCACTTTAAAAATATTCTTGAGCTTTTGATAGAAATATGTTATAGATTTTACTTCTGTCATGGATTCCATCAATTAAGAGCATCTCAGGTACATTTGAGGAAGCCAAATGTCTGACCCATATTAATATGTTAAAAGTTGTTGAAGACATGACTACTGTTGTGAACTGAGAAGACCAAATTCAATTTGAAGTTGGCAAAAATCCTTAAAACAACCATTACATAGCAATTGGTTTAATGTCATAAAATTTTCCACCCAAATTTTCCAATAGAATGTTTTACTGCCAATTTTCAAAGTAGAATTTTTCCAAAGTTAATTATTAATAAATCTCATTACCAAAAACCAATCTAGCCCACAGATTTCTCACCACATGCGCTCTTGGAAATAAAACACCTTTTTTACTATATGGTGTTCTAAGCACTTGCCATGGTCACAAAGGAAATAGATAATAACTTTCCAACACAGTCCATTCAACTATATTTTCATTCCACATGCTGGTGGCTGATAAAATATTACCCCAATGGTATTTTTGCAAATCAGATAAATTGAAGCCACTTTCCTCAAACAGTTGCCTCATTTTAGCCAAGGAAAACCTTGCTGGCCAGGTTTTTTCTATTCCAGTTAAATTTCCCAAGTGACTATCAATCTGAAGGAAATATTTATTTGGTATTAACATAGGAATACTTCTAAGTACATGAATCAAACAAGGGACAATATTTGTTTTAATGACATTAATTTTACCCCACAAGCTTAAAGGAATTTTAACCCGTCTATTAAATCCAATCCAAACCTTTCTAAAAGTTTCAACATATTTATTGCCACCCTACCAGTAATGTTGATTTGGTACTACCTTTATACAATTAGGGAGGGAGGTAGAGTACTGGTCTGAAATTGCCAAAATATAATCAGCATATAAACATCATTTATACTCACACACTGCCAGTGTAATACCCTTAATGTCTAAAGATTGCCTTACCATGGTGGATCAAATTAAATAGCAAGGGCAAAAGTGGGCAGCCTTGGCAAGTGCCACATTGTAACTCAAAAGAGTCTGAATCATTCAGTTTGTTATAACTCTGGCACTGAACAAAGTCCCATGGTAAGCCATATTTAATCAGCACTTGCTTTAACAATTTAATCCAAACCAAATCCAAAGCTTTTTCTGCATCTAAAGATACTAGTGCAGTGGAGTTCTTTCTGCCTTTGGCTATAGCCATTATATCAATAAATGTAAATTATATGATGCCTCACTATTTTTGATAAACCCCAACTGGGAAGGGTGAGTAATATATACAAGTATCTAACCAGTATGATAATGAAGCTCAAGCTCAGATACTTTGGTCACCTAATGCGAAGAGAGGACTCTTTGGAAAAGACCCTGATGCTGGGAAAGATGAAGGCAAAAGGAGAAGGGGATGGCAGAGGATGAGATGGTTAGATAGCATCACTGAAGTAATGAGCATGAAACTGAGCCAACTCAGGAAGCTCAAGCTCAGATACTTTGGTCACCTAATGCGAAGAGAGGACTCTTTGGAAAAGACCCTGATGCTGGGAAAGATGAAGGCAAAAGGAGAAGGGGATGGCAGAGGATGAGATGGTTAGATAGCATCACTGAAGTAATGAGCATGAAACTGAGCCAACTCAGGGAGGCAGTGAAGGACAGGAAGGCCTGGCGCGATATGGTTCATGATGTCACGAAGAGTCAGACACGACTTAACGACTGAACAACAACAAAACCAGTATGGTAGTTAAGATCTTAGTATCCACATTTATTAATGAAATAGGCTGCAGCTACCATGTATGTGCCTTGTGGTGGTGGTGGTGGTGATGATGATGATGATGATGGCAATTTACTATTCTTAAAATATTTATGATATACCTCCAAAGGTATAGGACCCAACAAACCTGCAAATGCCCAATATCATTCCACTGAAAAGCCATCTGGACCATTTTGCAACAATTGTATAGAATCTAATGGTTCCTAGAGGGACAGGGGAGCTTTCAGTAAGGTTATCCTGATGTTCTTAATGGATCTACAAGTTCTGCAGGTTGTTTTGGAAACAGCAATATGTGAAGAAATGTGTGGAGCAGACATATATGGTCTTCTGCTGAATTTGCATGACAAGAGGACAAGACTGAGCAAAAGCAGCTGGTATTCACAGAGTTAATTAGTCAGTTCTTAAGATCCTCAAGTTTTAAACTGGCGTGTTTGGATTCAAGGAGAATCTTTTCCTCTGTTTACCCTGCCCAGTAGTAAATAGCTTATTTCCAAAAGTGAAGAAGCAAAATTACTTTTGTTTCCTTTCTGCAGTTGTTTGAATCCTAGCTCTGTTTTCTTAGAGCGTTGTCCTTGAGATTCTAGGTCTATTACCTTCATTGCACTGTATGCCTTTCTGCTCTTCATAATGCTTCCAGTCTATTTAATAAGTTTTTTCTATAGATGTCTTACAGTTATTTCCATGTTATCTTGGCCCTTAGTAGCTCCATTCTTCAGGATGTAGCCTTTCATTCCTCCCTTTCTGGTCCCGAAGGCAGGATCTAGCTCTCAGTTTGGAACATCCTCCTATCCTCAGAAAGAAGAGAAGCTATGGATGCTGTGAATTTGACCTCTTTATGAATGCTGTGGGTCTTACTTTTGTTTTAGCCATGACTGTCTTAGCAGAAGGTGAAGACAATAGGTCTGACAGATAGTTAGTCAGTTACTTTGATTAAATATTAATTAATTAAAAAGCAGGTTATATATCTACTAAAAATAGTTACTTTCAATAATTTCATCCTCTCACACTTTTAGACATGATGAAGAGGGCAGGAAGAAAAAATGTGAACAGCCTGAGGAAGATTTTGGAGAATCTGAAAAGATAAATGAAGTAAGTCTTAATTTTTAAAAAAGCTTTAAAACTCTTCCTGGCTAAATTGTTCATTTGGTAAACACCTTCTAAAGTGGATACTGTTTGTGATTCTTAAAACATCTGTTTAAGTGTGAGCTTTTTGCTGACACGTGGCATTTGCAGAGCCAGTGGGAGATCTATATTCTTAAGTCAAGGGGGCATAAAAGGGATTCATTTGAATCTGAAGCATTCCTTGGGGAGATGTGCCAGAAATCTTTAAATGAAATGAGCTCTGCTGATCATCTACTTCTGACTGCTTTGAATTATATAGTAAATCTCTGTTCCAATAAAGCAATTGACTAATTCAGTTTGCCCTCATTTTCTTATTAAATGCAAAGACTATTATTATTAATTGTTGAGCTAGATGTTTATTAAGTACTTGTATTTGTTTGGAAAAAGAAATAATCACTTTGAATAGATGCATAATTAACCATTCTTCCAGTTAAAATGAAGAATTGCAATTACAAAAGAACACAGGTTGGATTCAAACTTATTTTGACAATGGGTTAGATCAGGGAGACATGGCAGCAGTTTCTCTGTTCTCACAGCTGAAGATCAGCCCTTCCTGGGAGGGATTCCCTCTCTCTAAGAATAGCATAGGAGATAGTATTGGGGGTGCGCAGGATGGTTGAAGGAAATTGCTTCTAGCAACAGCAGAACTAAGCATAGGTCTGGATCCAGCCCATTTTATAAATATTATAAATGAAGCTACTAGTATTTGAACTAAAGATTACTTAACAATTTGTCACTTTTTTGTCTTGCAGAATAGTGAAAAGTTGCCCTCGAGAGAAATGAAAGCCAGTCAAGGCAAAAATGAAGGAAATAAAGTTGCTAGAAAACTTGCAGAATCAGGACTTTCAACCGATGAAAACAAAAGTGAAATCAAGGTTGAAAAGGAACACAGGAGAAGAACATCTACCTCTTTCCAAATGGAGGGCAGCCAGGCAGACATTGAACCGAAATCTCAATTTGACAGGGCAGAGGCCAGTCCAGAAGAACCTCACAAGCAGAGGAATGCACTTAAAAATGAAAAACATATTAAAAAGGATGATTCAGAAACACCAGGTGTTAAGAATGTACTGAAGAAAGAGACTAGACCATCAAAAGATAAAAATGAAAAAGAAAGAAGTCTTTCTGAAGACAAATCATTAATGAAGTATAAATGTAAAGGAGATAATATTCAGAAAACAAATGATGATGTTGAAAATGTACCATCTGAGAAAACGCCGAGAAATGAAGAGGCTGTTCAGAAAAATAGTCAGCTAGCTAAAGTTTTGCCTGATGATAAAACTGAAAAGAAAAACAAGCACAGAAGTGAAAGAAAGACTTCCACGAACAGCAAAGAGATGAAAAATATTTCTGAAAAAAATGAAGAGAGTGTACGTAAAGAGAACAGCAGAAAAGAGAGGCAGTTTTCCACAGAAAAATCAAAAGCAGAATACAAATCCAAGAAATTGCCAAATGATTCTAGGCCACCAAAAGAGTCACAGAGTGCCTCAAAGTTTCATGTTTCATCCATGACATCAAAACGAAGCGAAGAAGATAAGCATGATGCAGAATCATCCAACTTGGATAACGCTTTAAGGCAAGGTGACAGTCTACACAAAGTCAGGCGAAGATCAAAGAGTGCCTTAGAAGAAAGGATCTTATTAAAACCCAAGTCCAAGAGTCATAACAAACCAGCCAAAATACCTGAAAGTGAATTACAAGAAAGTTTCTCCAGGCAGGAATCTGTACAGAAATTGGACAAAGATAAAAATACAGAAGAGAGTGATCCAGATAAACAGTGTAAGTTCAAACCTGAAATGAAAGTTTTTGAAGAAAATTCCACTGAATTGGAAATTGAAAGTGGAATACATTCACTTAGTAGTTCCCAAAAAGATGCCAGTCATAAATTTAAGGTACAGTTGGGAGAAAAAATAAAAGAGAGAAGTAAAAGTGATAAATATTTGAGTACTTCCAGATTGGAAAGGAGATGGTCAGCAGACAGCCACAAAAGCAAAAGTTTTAAGCATAATAACAAGGATGTGAAAAAGAAAGAAGATGAAAGCAGATTAGAAGACAAAAGCATTAAAGAAGTAGAAAGCAGTGCAAAGATGCCAGAAAATCTACACACAGAGAAGAAGCCTATTAAAAGATTAAGTAATGAACATCGAAAGGTGAGTACATCAACCCAAGAAATAGATACAAGAGAAGAAAAAATGCCAGCGGTCACAAGCCCTTTCATTGCTCTTCAGAAGACCACTGGGCACTTACTGTATTCTGATCAAACCCAGGAGCCAATGGAGGAATGTTGCAGTGATACACAAAATCAACAAACCCAAGTTGAGAAAGAAAGCAGTAACAATTCACAGGGAGAAGCTAAACTGAAAAATACTGTCAAAGACCAAACACAACATAATTTAATGTCTGAATTCAATACAACATTGCACTCAAATTTCAGTAACTCTGAAGAAAAAGTGAAAGTTTTTTCTACTAAAGAAATGGATGTATCAAGTGATACCTTTAAGCAGACTGCAAAGGATTTATGTTCTGTTGAAAAACAACAATATCATGTGAATGCTGATTATGAAGAAAGTGATCAGGCTTTACTTGATGCTGCTCATAAAAATGAAAACATAAAGTTCCATAGAATGACTGAGGATGATCAGAGTCCAAAGAACCTTACAAGTAGAGATAATCAAAGTTGGAAAAGCAGTTCTTCAATAAAGAATTTATCAAAAGAAGATGCACATCAGAAATCTATGAATATAGATCTTGCAGAAATCATAGATCCTTCAGATAATGGATCTGAAGAGGAATCTTTGAATAGATCTTATGTTAAAGATACCATTTCAGACAGTCAAGCACATGCTGTTAAAATGGAATCTCATGGTAGTATTGTACTCAGTGCAAACATGATAGAAGATATTGCCAGTATAAGAATTAAAAACCCAGAAGACACAATACATTTACCTTCTAAACCAGCAGCTGAAGAAAGGATAAGTGCTATAGCAGGCATTCAAGAAGTTACTGGGCAAAGAAGAACTGGAAATGCATTAACTAGTATTCTAGAGAATAATAATCTCACAGGCTCAGAAGTAGCATCTGCAAATGTAACTGCAAACAAATCTGTTTTAATCAACTTGGAGAAACTAGAAAAGGATCGTTTCAGTGAGGGTACTGCAGAATTCAAACCACAAACGGACAAAAATCAGAGTAATTTAATAGAATTATCTTCAGGTTCAGTGTCCAAGAATGTTCCAGGAAAAAAAAGCAAAGTATCTGCACTAATCAAAGGAGGAAATGATATCAAAGAAGTTGCTGAAGATAATAATGAAAGCAGTGTAGTAGGCAGCAGTGTAGGAGGTAGCCATTGCATTACTATTCACAGTAGCATGGAAACTGGTGCAAATGTTATAGGAACTAGCACAGAGACACCTACTGGAAACCTTGCCACAGCTGCTAGTATTAGAGAAAACCAAGTTGAAGAAGACATGTCAGATTTGCTGACAGAAGGTGAAGCCATCATTACTTGCTCAGAAGAACAAAGAAAGGCTCATTTAAGCTGTGCAAGTATAGAAGCAGATGAAGGTTTCACTTTGGGCCCTTGGATCAAAAGTGAAGAAAGTGCTCATTCTATAACAGAAAAAGCTATTGGTGAATGGACTGTCACAGCGGCTGAAGAAAGTGGTGCTGTTATGGAAGAGCTTGCAATATGTGAAAGTTCTTCAACCAGCACAAAGGAAGGAGAAAGTGGTGAATGCATTGTGAATTATGTAGAAGAAAGTACAAAACAGGTAGTCAATGGAAGTGGAGATAAACTTGATCAAAATGTGAATAGTTGTGTAACAGAAGAGAAAGATGATGCTGTAACCAGTGCAAGCTCTGAAGAAAAATGTGTGGCTTCCCACTGTGGTGATATAAGCAACTTTGATAGTGGTGCCACATGTATTGGTGAAATAGAAAGTGATGGTGCTGTAACCAGTGCAGGTACTGAAGCTCAGAATCAATCCATGATTGGTGAAAATCCAGATGCATTTCAGAGTAATCCAATTGGAGCTGAACAAGTTAAAGCAGCTGAGGGCACTGTCACTTGTACAGGTGTAGAAACTGAGCATGTTGGCTCTGTTATCTGTTCAGTGACTGGGACGGACTCACAGGAGAATGCTGTAACTGGACTTTGCCCTGAAATGGCAGATAACATAGCAACAATATCCCATGCTGACAAAAGTGAAGACATTGTAAATGGTGAGAGTGCTGTCACTAGCACAGGAATAACAGCAGAAGATGATCCTGCTTGTACTCTTTTGGAGGAAAGCCAGAAAGGTTTTGCAGGAGCCTTAGATCCAGAAGAAAAATATCAACTTGCCACAGACAGTATAGAAGTTAGAGCTGAAACAAACGCTACTGAGGTCAGCCAGGGTTCTTATATTGATGATGAAGGCTGTGTAACCAGCACAGGTGAAAAAGAAGAGGATGAAGAAGGTGAAAATTTTGTAACTAGTACAGGAAGGGGCAATGAAGAAGGAGAACATGTTTTGGCTTGTACAGGGACAGAGGAAAGTGGAACGTTGCTTATTAGTATGGGAGCCACAGAACATGGAAGTTCCTCTGTCTGTTTGTCTGCAGACCAGCTTGGAACAGGGTTGGGTGAATATTCTTCAAATGCAAATAAAAGTTCTATTGATAGCATGACATGCTTAACAAAAGAAATGAAGGTTGATGGTGTTCACAACAATATAAAAGGGACTGTTGCAAGTAGCACCACTAGTGTTGGTATAAGTAAGGAAAATATTATGGCCTTTGTCCCCAAAAAAGAAGGTGAGTCTCTATTTACTAAGACATTTGAGTGTAACAGTGCACTGTTAAATAGACATGGTATAGATCAGCCATCTGCTAGTGAAGAGAAGAGTGAGAGCACTGTATCTTCCTTAGATAGCAGGAAATGTGGAGGCCTGACTAAGATGGTCTCTAAGGAAGTAAATATAGTTTCAGCATCTGCTAGTGAAAATGATAAAAGTGAAGGTGAGATCATCTCTACAAGTGGGGCCAAACTGTGCTCTATCTCAGCACATTCTGCCCAGTACAATGAGCCACCATTACCATTTGTTGCAAGAACAGTTGAAAACTTAGAGAAAGCCACAAGTCTGATAGCAACTGAAGATTTCAGTTCTCCTACACCAAGTACAACTGTCAAATATATGAATCAAGATGGAGATGTTATGAAGTCTAATAAAGTTTCTACTAGTGTTTTAGAAGAATTTGAAGCTCCAATGCCAAGTGTAACAGTGAAAGATCCTGGGACTGTACTTGATACTACCAGAGCTGTAGAGAAGACCAGCAGTGTGGAAATATATGCTGTTCATATACCCAGTGTATCCACTGGAGGAAGTGATGAAATCCAGGTGATTGGTGACAGAGAGGAAAGGGATGAATGTGCTACAATTTCCACAAGTATAATTGAAGACATAGAAACTCCTATTTCTGAGGAAGGCAATGAAGACATTGCTCAATGCTTTGATCTAAGACTGGAGCAAACTGGTGATACTGCCACAATTTCAACAAGTTCAGTAGAACATTTTGAGTTTCCTGCTGAGAAACAAATTAATCAGATCTCTGGAACAGAAGGAAAACTTGTGAATTTTGCTGTACCTGCAACTGAAGTATGTGACAGACTTACACATAGTGCAGTTGTGCCAATAGAAACAACACAGAGAAGTGAAAATACAATGATCTCCACAGAAGGAATAGAAAAATCCAAAACTGTTCAAGAAGCTACAAGCCAAAAGTCTGAATTAGATGAAAGCAATATGCCTTTAGTTACAAAAGGAGGAATATGTCATGACCTTGAGTTCAGTATTAGTAACAGCAGATCTGATCAGACGTGTGTTGCCTCAACTACAGAGAATCTTGCAAAGGGCCCTGCCAGATCAGGAGAAGAAAGTGACAGTGTCTCTCCCACTGCTGCCTCAGAGGAAGCTCCATGTACATTGGCAAGCACAGAAGTAGAAGAGAAAACTGATACGCGCTCTGAAGAATTGGATCCCACCATGTTGTCAGATCTAAAAAACAATAAGAATTCAGTTGAGTTACCTAGTGATGGTCAAGGAATCCAGGAGGGGGAAGAAGGTAGAGAACCTTCAATCATATCCAAGACTGATGGCAATACTGAAAGCATAGAAGTTTCTGCAAATACAGTGAAACCTGTTAATGTAGTGGGTCTTCCCAGTACAGAAATAAGTTTTGATTCCTCTGTCTGTCATGGGCTATCCACTGAAACATATATGCATGGAAATAAACCCCGAGATGATAGGCAATATATTGAGGTTCTGTCAAAACCCGCTGTTCTGATACTGGAAAAAGAAATGTGGAATGAGAAGATAGACTTTGTTATTCACCAACCAGTATTAAAAACTGAACTTGTTGAAGAAAGAGATGTCTCCACCCCTAATTCGTTACCACTTGAATTAGGAGGAAATTCTGAGAACGCACAGCGTGGCATTCCTGATGTAAATGCTAAAGTACCAGACGCTTTTCATGGAAATACAGTAAAAAATAACGGTAAGAATCTAATAGAAAAGAATATATGTAGCTCAGGGTTGAACTGTGGAGTCCTTGGTGCTCTCTGAGCTTGGTTGTTTCCTTGCTCATAAAAACGTTTCATTACCCGACTAGGTAACATCATCAGTGCTGGTGAGTGTGGGGTTTGCTCCCTTTTATCTACAGTAGCTTGCCCTGCCAGTTTGGTTGGGGTGTGGTTTTCTTCTTGGTAGTTCCTTGATTAGGGTATTGTTTTCTGCTTGATTGTTTGCCTGGTGTTAATCCCTGCTTATCTGGGTGCTGGCTGCTGGAGAGGATGCGTTCTGGTCTTTTAATAAAAAAAGAAGGAAACAAAAAGGGCCAGAACACATCCTCTCCAGCAGCCACTGATGATGTTACCTAGTTGGATAATGAAATATCTGCAAGCAAACAACAAAGCTCAGAGAGCACCAAGGACTCCACAAGAATGGTAAGGTTCTGGAGTTTTTAATGTAATGCATTCAAAAGCTAATGATTTGAGTTTTAGAATTTTTAATAGAGTTTGGAATCAATTAACAAAGTATCTCAAGTTTCATGATGTTATGAAAGAAGACTATAATAGGTTAAACGAGAAACATCTGAAATCAGGATTAAGTTTCAGCACTTTAAGAATATTAAAAACAGTGAACACCTTGGTTCACATGAACACTGTTTTCTGCTTATTGAAAATGTTTCTATATCACCATTCAGGTCATATTTTCTACAGCAGCTTGTAATAAAATGAATGCAATAAAATAAAAGGCTAGTTACAATCACAGCAGAAGGAAATAATGCAGATACTACATGGCTAGAAAAATTAAAAAGTCTGTATTTGGGTGAGTAAAAGTATAGGTTCCAGAAAAACATGGAAAATTTGGAGTTTCATAGGTAAGGCTGACAGCGGAAAAGGTCTCCTCTGTACCAGCCCTTCCACTCACTCAGAGAGTGGGGAGCAATCACATTCCCCTGAGGAATAAGCCAGTGGTAGTTTTCCATAACTGTCCTTATTTTAAAGTATATCCATTTTAAATGAAAGGATTTGCCTGTGGTGGTTTCAAATGGTTAAATGGAGAGTACAGTGAATCAAAGCTGTTACATAACTGAGGCTTTCCTGACAGCTTTAAAAAATGAAAAATAACCTATTTTTATTTAACCCGTGTTTCTGGAGATCAATAGGGTCATAGGAAGGCAAGTGAGGAGGAAAAAAAGTACATAAACTTGTTGATGGTAGGAAGTGTTGTCCAGATGTTTACACGTCCCTGTCTCAAACATTATATAGAATATTAAGCAGTTAAAAAGAATAGATGTTGTTTAAAATGACAGAAAAGGAGCAGAATGTGAATAAATTGATTCTGTTCATAGATTATAACATCTCAAGCCATTTCATTCAGTAAGAAAATTAGGGGGAAAAAAAAACTTTGGCAAAACATGGGTAGTTAAACTGATCTTAAAATTAAGAAGAACAAGGTAGAAATAATTGATCCATTTGTGATAATGTGATAATTTATTAAATTGAAATGGGATATCATGGATACATAGAAAAATGGAAAAAACTAAGTTTTATATATTTAGATTTTAGCTGTGATTAAAATGATTCTGCTGCAATTTATCTTTTGGTCAAATTTATTAAAAAGTGAATGAAATAGAAATATAATTTTGTTTTGAACCTAGAACCAATCATCATATTCCAATCATCATATTCTACCAAGCTATTTGGAACCACACTGATTCAGCAGAACCAAAACCTGGAACCTCTGGGTTGTTCAGGTCTCAGAAGAAACAAAATATGGATTAGGCAAATCAGGCAGGGCTGTTGGGTATCCTCCTTGCATCCTCTAAGCAAGGCCAGCCTATTCTTTTGGCCAGCCTGTACCTGAAGTTCTGGCCATCCGTACATCTTTTCTGTTGTCACCTTAAAAAAAGAAGAAGTGTGAAAGTGTCCACAGACTGTAATTCTATTATTAAATTCATAGGGGAAGAAAAAGCTTTTTCTCTTCTTCCCGATTGTAAAAGAATATAGACCTGGCCTTGGGAATGGGGAAAGAATGAATGATGAATTAAGGGGGGGATTTCGGAAAGGTTGACTTAGTCTTAAGAATGAGGAAAGTGTGAGAAAGAAATTCAGAATGACCCTGCCTTGATCTTAACAGCTTTTCAAGATTCTGTTGTTCTACCGTACAACAATAAAATAGCATTCCTGGAATCCCTCCTGGTGTTGCCCACCTCAAAGGGCTCACACTGGAATTTTTGTTTTCTGCAAGCAAAGATTCTCAGCCTCCCCACCCCCACCCCACAAAGGAGCACACCAAAATCTAATGAAATAAGGAGCCATTCAACCTGTGACAGCTGTACTGTCACATTCTATAGGCTAGGATAAATGCTCAAGACATTCTGTGAACATCTCTTGTCAGCCACAGCTGGCTTGGCAAATAGTCAGGGCTGTAGCCTAGAAAACCTGAAAAGAGTCAGATATTGTTTCAGACTTCATGGACCACTTTACAAATTATATCGCCAAAAAGCTCTATAGATCATTGGTGCTTAAAAAGAAAAATGAACCATCTTGATGTCATGATAAATTGTGATAGCCACCTTGAAATAACGTCATGGATAATGCAAAAAATAAAAATTATTCTCCTTGGAAGAAACTTTATTTCTTGCCATGGATGACTTAGGTGGGTCTGCATTTGTGGACATAGTGTCAGGGCCTAGCCCAAGGAACTCCAGGAGACCATACAGAATCAATCCAGCAAGGTTTATTAGCT